TGCACCTAACAGCAGACCTGGCTCCAGAGTGGGGCCCCGGTGACCCGCGTCTAGGTGAGGGAACACTGACCCCATTCATTGTACTCATCATAGGAGTCTTTGGGTTGTACTTTGTCTGATCCCTCACCTAGGACCTGTTTGCTTTGGGTGACCCTACTGGGGGCATGAAGCCCTCGACAACATAGCTCCTAGGATCATTGGGACACTCAAACCTCTCCACCACGATTAGGTGGCAGCCCAAAGAGAGGTAAAGTTTTGGTGTGACATTTTAATTGAAATTCAGTTGAGACAAATTGTATTTTAGTATTTCTATTAGAAAAAGTCTAACTTGCCAAATCATTACTTATGCTTCCAAAAATACTTTTGTTCTTGTGAAAATTTTGAGTGATGTAAATTAGCATTTTTTTAAATGAAAATAAAACATATGCTTTCTTGTTATTTATACCTTGCGTCCCTTGGTAGACGGTCTTCCTCTTTTCTCCTCATTGCTGGGTTTTCGTGACCCTTGGTTCAGCACCTCCTCCTTTTGTGAAGATGTTTTTTCTGGTCGGTCTCTTAAAGAAACCTCTTCTGATTTAAGGTCACCAGTTTCATCACCTCTTTCGTTGACCACATTGGCTGCTGAGTTGATTATTGCTCTCTTTTGTTTTGAGGTCTGGGCCTTATTGCCTTTGGCTACTACTTCTGTTAAATCATCATCTTGTGAATGACTCATGATTCTAATAGCTTCTTGATTGTTTATCTCCTCAGTCCACTGGGTCTCTTGGCTCAGCTTCTCTGTGGTTTTCTTTTTCACCTGTATTTCATCTTCTTTGTTCTTTGCATTATTGTCCTCCTTGGTCTCATTTTTTTGCTTATTTATTTGGAGCAAGGATGACATGACTCCAGTAGTCTTGGACAAAAGACCAACCTCAGTGTTTGACGTATTTTGGTCTGCAGTACTTAATGTTGTAGCAGTGGTGCTAGAATTCAAGCGTACAGGACTAGAGTCTGTGGTTGTAGAAGAAGTGCTAGTGTTTGTGAGACTGATACGATCATCCTTCTTCTCATAGTTATGAGAATCAGTTGAGTTCAGGAGGAGCTCATTCAAAGGAGAGTCACAACACTCATAAAATTCTTCAGATGTGTTAGAGAAAACAGAGCCTTCTTTTGGTGAGAAGTAACCATCACTAGTGTCAGACATAGGTGATTGAACATCCAGCAAGTATGATTGGAGGTTGAGTGGTGATTTTTGTGATTCTGGGGTAGATGAGCCTGAAGGAAAAGCATCAGAAGTGGGAGATTTTGCAGCAGCTAATTTGGATTTTTGCTTGGTGGTTGGTGACTTTGAGGTTGCCGCTTGTGCAAGAGAGAAATCCAAATGCAGAGGTTTCTCTGGAGTGTTTGGGCTTGTTTGTGTCTGTTCTTGAAAGGTAATGTGTGTATCAGTTTGTTTCAATGTGACTTGTGTTTGTTTACTTAGCTGACTGAGTGCATTTCCAGCACACACGTCTATTTTGTCATCAACACCATCTTTGAATACACATGGGCTCTGTGTTTTACCATTTGTTGGAGCTTTTAAAGACGCTGTTCCCTCTAAAACGTCTAGATCTTGTAATGTAAACTTACTAAATAATATCTTCTGAGGCTCATGTGATTTTGCAAAATATGTTTGGGGCTGTATACAATTAGCAAGTTCACAATTTGTCATGTTTTTTTCTGTCTGTGCCACTGTTGCCAAGTCTGAACATGTCTTGGAATCTGTCAACATCAAAGTCTTGGAATCAACATCTGTAGGACTTATTTCTTGAGTATTTTCACTAGCTTTCTTTAGTGCATCAGTAATCAAAAGATCGGATTGCATTTTTAATTTGGTTCCAGTGACTGACAGCTCCTCTGCTGTGCCACAATGTTGTCTATCATCTTTCTTGAGCTTTTTCTCTTGTGAGCTCACACACTGTTCTTGCTCTGAAGTAGCTTCAAACTTAGTCTGATTCTCTGTATCTTTATGAGCTCTTCTGTTATTGGCAGTACTGTCATGCACTTCCGGAGCAGCCTCTGTTCTTTTTACAGAAGATATTTGCACTGAACTTGGGAGGGGAGGCACATTGTGGACAACTGGCATCTCTGCACTGGAGTCCGGACTTGTGATCATCTCTGACAGTGGCTGGCTATTTTGGACGCTGCTATCTTTTAAAACCTGGTGGACAGTACGAGGCTTAGGGACTGGTGGAAAAGAAAGCAAAAAAGATGATGTAGAAGATGTGAGAACAGGCTGTGTCGCAAAAGTTGAGGTGGAAGAAGGTAGGGAAGAAGGGGAGCTAGTGGAGGGATGAGACTTAGAAGAAATATTAGCTGTGCTTGAGTGCACTGCGGTAAGAGTGTTATTTATGGAGGTGGAACCTTCAGACTGTGTTGGAGAAGCAGAGGAATGGGGACTGTGCCCAAGTCCAATAGGACTCTGGATGTAAATCTCTTCAGAAGAGACTTTAGGTTGCATGTTATTAGATGTGTGTAAATCTGCATGTGGCACCACAGTATTTTCTATGCTTGGATGAGGAGGGTTTTCAAACAGGGAGGTCTGTGCACTGTTTGACTTCAAGGTGTGTACTATGTCCACAGCAGGACTTTGTGTATTTACAGTGTTAGTTTCTTTTTCCGAGGTTAATTTTGTGAGAGAGTCTAACTTCAGGCTGGTTTTGGAGACAGTTTCAGCTTTGTTTGAAGGCCACTGCTTACTAGACAAGGGTGTTTTGTTGCTAGAATGGGGACTGAAATCAGATGCATCATGACTTACATCTGGGTCTATGGTTGAGTTTGAATTAAGCTTATTCTCAGTTTTGAGGGCCTTAGCTTTATTCTGGTCAGGTATAAATTTTTCACTACATGATTTTTCATCTGCATTTTTGTTTTTGCTTTTGTTTTGACATGGAGCGGCAGAATCTACCACCAAATGGTACCACCAAAAAGGTTTGGATTCATTTGAGTCCAACTGTGAACTGGTTGCAGAGGAAGTGATAAGTTTGTTTGAAGGGCTCTCCTTACAAGATAAGCTGGGTTGGGGTGATGTATTAGAGCTGAGATCAGAAATATTGTGGCCTCCATCTGTATTTGTTGCAGTGTTTGAAGAGATTTTTTTCTCCATTTTGAGAACTTTAGTTTCACCTTTATCAGGTACAGACTTTTGACTACATAAAGGCAGTTTTTGTTCTGGTGCCTTGTTTTTACTTTTGCTGGGATCAGGAGTGGCAGCAATTATGACCAACTCCTTAGCTTTTGGTTCATTTTGTACTGGCTGAGTTTTCTCAGTACCCTGGATATGGACTGGTGTTGGTTTGTTAGCATCGTGACTACTGATAAACCCTCTTAAATCACTTGTTAGGTCAGGTTCTGATTGGGTGAGTGAGTCTGATTTTGTGAGGACAGTTCTTGCTTTGTTACTAGATTTAATGAGTGTATCGGGTGTAATTTGGACTGCATTTGGTTTCATGGTTGTGCTTGAAGACTGTTCCTTTGCTGTTTTGAGTACTTTAGTTTCATCCTTGTCAAGTACAGACTTTTGAACACATTGTGCCTTGTCTTTACTTTTGCTGTGATCAGGCACTCCAGTATCTACCACTGACTCCTTAGGTTTTAATTCATCTGAGTCAGACTTCAGACTTGTTGTGGAGTCAATTTCAGCTTTGCTTGAAGGTTTCTCTTTACTAGAAGAGGGTACTTTGTTGCTCGATTGCGTTAGTATTTTTGGACTGAGATCATGTGCATCATGGCTCAGATTTATGGCTTGTTTTGGACAGAGTTTGTCCTCAGTTTTGAGAATTTTAGTTTCATCTTTATCTGATACCAATTTTTGTGTACATGGAGGTGATTTTTGGCCAGATTCCTTGTGTTTAGCTTGGTTTTGATCAGGAGTGGCTGTATTCATCACCAACTCCTTTGCTTTGAGTTCATTTTGAAGTGGTTGAATTTTATTTATTTTCTTAGATACTTCAACTTCTGAAAAGGTTTCACATGGCTGGCTGGATGGACTGCAAAACTTGATCGCACCAGGGTCAAGTTCTGACTCTGTGAGTGTGTCTAACTTAGATGAAGGTAAAGATGGGGGTAGTGTATTGGAACCAATGTTGGGTCTGTCATGAACTGTATCTAAGTTTATACCAGAGCTTAAACAAGGCTTTTTATCAAGTTTGGGAATGGTACATGTGTCTTTGTCAATTCTGGACTTTTGAATACATGCATTTTGTTCAGCTGTCTTGTCTTTACTTTTGTTGGAACCGGAAGCAGTACTATCTATCAATATCTCATTTGCTTTGGGTCCATTTTGTTCTGGTTGGAGTTTAGTCATTTCATCGTGTTTAACAGATATTTGTCTGGGTAAAATTTCCTGTGACTTATTAAGTGGACTGAGTGTGAGTAAGTCTGCTTTTGGGCTGATTGTGGAGACAATTTCAGCTTTGTTTGAGGGTCCTTCTTTATTAGACGAGAGTGTTTTGTTGGTAGTTTGGGATGATGTACCTTGATTGACATCAGGTTTATCATGGCATGCATCTGGATTTATGGCTGAATTTGAATGGAGTTTCTTCCCAGTCTTTACAGCCTTCATTTTGTCCTCATGAGGTACAGACTTTTGACTACATGGAGGTGATGTTTGTTCAGATACCTTGTCTTTAATTTTGTTGGAACCAGAAGCAGGACTATCTATCAACATCACATCGGCTTTGGGTCCATTTTGTTCTGGTTGGAGTTTAGTCATTTCATTATGTTTAACAGTTATTTGTCTGGGTAAAATTTCCTGTGGCTTGTTAAGTGGACTGAGTGCGAGTAAGTCTGCTTTTGGGCTGATTGTGGAGACAATTTCAGCTTTGTTTGAGGGTCCTTCTTTATTAGATGAGGGTGTTTTATTGCTAGCTTGGGATGATGTACCTTGACTGACATCAGGTCTATCATGGCCTGCATCTGGATTTATGGCTGCATTTGAATGGAGTTTCTTCTCAGTCTTTAGAGCACTTGTTTTGCCCTCGTGAGGTACAGACTTTTGACTACATGGAGGTGATGTTTGTTCAGATGCCTTGTCTTCACTTTTGTTGTGACCAGGAACTGCAGTATCTACCACCAACACTTCAGTTTTGGTTTCATTTTGTGCTGGTGTAAGTTTATCAATTTCCTCATGTTTATTAGCTATCTGTCTAGGTGTTGCAACCTCTGGCAAAGGCTGTTGCGGATTACTGAGAGGACTGCTAAACTTGATTGCTTGGCTGGTTTCAAACCTCTCAGAACGCTGCAGATGGACTTGTGTTGATTTGTTGGCATCCCGAATGTTAATGAACCCTATTACATCCTTTGGTGGGTCAGGCTCTGGCCATATGGGAAGGTATGGGATTAAGTCGGCTTTTTCTAGATTAGTCAGTCCGGGGTGAAGGGGAGGAGTATCCTCACTCAGCCGTCGTTGTTCCTTCTTCTTAGACTTCTCTGATATTTCAGGCTCTTTAGGGTTTTCGTTGCCAACTGAGGTGGTAGGGCATGGGTTGGTCAAAGCAACCAAGGCATATTTGGGGTTGTGCAATTTTCTAGCAAGAGCAGCAGAAGGAGGTATCACAGAGGCAACCTGGGGTCGAGCGTCTGCCTCAGGCTCAGGCTCTGTTGCCACTTTTCGGAGGTCAACAGCCCTGGAAGTCATGTACAGGAGGCGAAACAGTTTGTCAAAGGCATCCACAGCCTGACCTGTAGTCACAGTGACAAGATTTCTATCCAGCCGTGAGGACATCCAGGTGAAACTAAATAAAACAAAAGCAAATACAAAGTTAGACTGTAACTCACAGTAAATATGGTAATATATAAACTGGAAAGGTGACTTTTCTTGGGATTAAAAAACATTTGATAAAAAAACAACRAAAGGTAAAAATATAGTTTATGAACTTCAGAAGGAGCTTAGGATACAATTACAAAGAAGTTAACATACTTATGTACAAAAAGCCAATAAACGAGTGAGGCATAAGTTGATTTTTGTGTTAAGAGATTTAAAATTATTCTGTTTTACAGAATGCAATATAATTACAGAGTAATTATTTTTGTTTGAACGTTTTTGTACTGTTTCCAGAAATGACTTGTTGTGAATTGGCACTAAATCAATAAACTGAATTGATTCTTTTCTCTCCCTCAATGACTGCAGGCTAGTTTCTCATCTTTATAGTAAATTGAAACTCATTTGTCTTTTATGATGAGCTTAAAGTTAGTATTTAAAAGGCGCCTTGTTTATTCTTAAATTATAATAATAATAATTCAACCCCAAAAATACAATCAGCTGGAGCACAATGTATGTATTTTAGTCTCTTAATAGGGTTTTTTATTTTACAGTTGTGTCTTCACACCTGAACACAATAACATGCACACTGACCTGTATGACCCAGAAACAGCTTTGTCGCCGTCAATGAACATGAATCTGTGGCCCATTCGTCCTACAACTTTAGTGCAGTGCCGGGTGTAAAACTCAGAGCCTCCGGTGCAGCAGACACGAAGATGCTGAAATACACACACACACACACACACACACACACACACACACACACAC